CCCCCCCCCCCCCCTAATTCCTCACTTAGTTTTTTCATCAGTTCGGCTTTTTGCTTCAATCACATCAAGGGCTCATCCAGTTGGTAAAATGCTGGTAAATTGGTATGATATCATTTTGGTAGTCAAAAAACTCGATATCATATCATCTGGTCTACCGACATTGTATGGACATTGTACGGTCCATACAATTCTTCGAGTGATTTGGACAGTAATGGTTTGTTTGGTGTTTTATTTTCCTCCGAATTCCTTCAAAACTGATGAAAGGCGCATGTAATTTCGACGATCTCACCGTTTTTTACCCTAGCGTTGACCTCGCGCCGTTGAAAGATTTTTCTCTACTATTCTGGTTGCTCATCTCCATTTCCTTCTCTCTTCGCGTTCAGTATCTTCTGCAGTCACCTTGACTTCAGGAATGTCCTTCTTGATCGTGTCTTGCCAGCCCTTCATAGCAAGACGCGGAGTTAGAGGATCGTATGTTGGGAACGGGTATCGCCTGAACCCTTCATCGAGTCATTAATCTAGTAATCTGGTGCTAGAACGATTTCCTTCAGGGCTGACAGCTTTTTATATCAAGCCTGATGTTCATGAATGCTTCAGCAAAAAGGCGAGTTGAAAGAGAATCTGATTTGCTTTCCCGCAGGAGCTCGTGGTTGACGCCTAGGGAAAGGTCGTAATCGGGAGCTACAATGAGTATAAGAATCCTGTTGCCCTTGCTTGACGAACGAGGTCGAGGACAGCTTCCATCAAAAAGGAACCATATTATCGGGTTCTGACCTCCATTACAACACTTATATAGTGTGAAATTAAGGACCCTCTATGCTCCTGGGAGTGTAAAGTCTGCAAGCTCCTCCACTGGTAATGCTCCACACATCAAATTCTAACGTTTGCAGAGGTTATGTGCCTGGCTGGTTCTGGTCACGACCATTACCAGCCAGGCATTTGCCTTGGCCCTGGTGCAATATGGAGCCAATCTGGAGGTGGCAGCATAAAATGCGAAAACAGCAGACCCTCGGAGATCCGAACCATCAACCCATCCTAGCCGTCCTTCCTCAAAGTCCACATCGCTATCCACCACACCATACGACGCTGCTGGCAGCCTAACCGTGGAGAGCCTATATGAAACTTCCCCGCACTTTTCAACATGTGGCCCCCTTTTTTGGCTACCTTTCACGTTATTTTCAATGCGCAGTCAACTGACGCCTCCTACTGAACGGACAGTCGACGCCATGAATGAAACAAACGACGCAGAGTGGGTTAAAACGGCGATTTCTGACAAAATCGTTTTCAGTCATTTTTTGGCATTCAGAAGGCCAGTTAGCGGAAATGGACCATAGTTCTATACTCTGTGCTCATGCCCCTACACCATGCAAAAAACCGTTTTCAAAAAGCGTCCCACGCCCTGAAAGACCTTCCTTGTAAGGTCCCCAATACCGGCTCAGCCGACGTAGACACCGGGAGGACGAGTTATCACAGTGCTGTGAAAGCTGTAGAGATTGCACCCTTCCCATCGGGACGTACGCATTGGACACAGTTAGTTTGCTGTAGACACAAACATTTGAACAGTTCTTTTAAATATAGTTTCTGTTCAGCCTTTGCCATCACATTCTCGTCCAACCCCTAATTTTACCACTTTTTTGAAGCCTTGTGCTTTTTTTAAATATGCCGACTTTGCGTTTTCTTCACTTTTGCACTATTATGGACTATCGCTTCCGTTTAAGACTAGATACCCCAGAATTGTCGTGAACTGTACCTTTGAGCAATGCAATAGAAGTTCTATAAACATCTATGTCTGTTCACTATAACTTTATTGCTCCTGATCGAAAAACTTCAACTACAAGAGGTTAACTTTGTGTTTTACCTTCACTCCATAGTTCAGAGCACGTTCGGAATCCACCTTCAATATCTGTTACCTTACGTGTCATTTCTGCGGGCATCTAAAACAGCGTTTGACTTTGACAGCCCCAAATAGTTCACTGTATTTGACGAATCCCTACCTATATCGTCAAAGTTCATTTTAGAGAACGTTTACTTTACAGAAATCCAGCGGCAGCACCAGTTCCAAAGGGAAATCTAAAGCGCTGATAGTTTTCGTAATTCTGGCAGGTGAGCTAATTTTTGAATATACAGGGTGCGCCATAAATATGGTAACAACTCTTCGAACCTCCGTAATTTCCTTGTTTGGAGGATTTCTCCAAACCTGCACCTGCCCTTATGTTTATGATATGCCTTAGGCCACATACCTACTTTGGTGCTTTCGAGTCGTCAGATTTCGGAAAACGGTGGAGCCCCGCACATACCCACCAATCGTCACGTCTTTGCGCGCATTCGGTGAATCCTTTTCCGGAATCGCTCCTCATTTCAACATTCCCCACATGGCAGTCTCTTGGAACGCGACGCGCAGACAGGTCAACGACAAATCTTAAAACGGTCGTCTTCTCTCACATACTACCCCTTTTCTAGTACAATAACTTGGGAAGCAGTACGCTGCGGAACCTTCAGATACACGAGAAGAACGACTGCTGATTTGTTTGTATGTTCTAATCCGATGGGAAGAGTCTACCCAGAGTAAATACAACTGTATCGGAATAGAATTCGAAAGCCTTACAAGCTTCTTGAAGTGAAGAAGCTGGTGAAATAACGAATTCTGTGCACTACTTGCGCGCGGCACGCGCTTCACCACACTTGTTTCTGCCTAAGGGTTGTTTAGCGTGGAAGAAATGTTGAGATTCCAGAGTATACGTGTGTTTCACACTTCGAGTGTTGAAGTCGCCGAGAAGAGTTAGATCGCCTTTCATAGCCATTTACCTCTTTTATGATGGTTTGAGCTGGAATCTCCACCGTCAGAGTGATATCGCAAATTCTGGTCGAGAAAAGTGCAAAACTTAATCCGAACCTCTCTGAGAAGGGTTTTTCTGAAAGGATGCAGCTAAGGGTCAAAAATTTATCTAGGGTACGTTTTGAAAACTACGATGCACTCGCTCACGAAAGGAAGAGGATCAAAACTGTTGCTGAGGGAATGTTCGCGGTTTTGTCCCAGCTTCCAATCCTCCTACGAATTTCCCGGACCACAATTTTATGGAACGCTGGATATAGTCTATACTGGAGAGGGAAGCCTGCACTTCCAAACGCATCATTGTTGCTGCTCCTGAGAAATCATTGAAAAAAGTCTAGGCTGGAGTTTCTCAAGAAACTCTGCGTGCCACTGCCGATAAGTAGCCAAACCGTCTCCTAGCTATAATTAGTACAGGGAAGGTTATATAAGATCGTTGCGTGTTCCTTTTGTAGATGCGATGCTTAGTAAATAACTCACATGAATTCACCGTGCATCAACTAGAACTGCGGTTTCTGTAGCCCAATTCTTTTGCTACCATATTTATGGCGCACCCTGCATATTCCACCAGTCCGATCACCAGATTGACGCAGGTATCTCACTTTTGCTCAGATCATGGCATTCATCAGTTGAACCTCTATTTTCCCTTTGTCGGCCTAGCCGTTCACCGTAGTTGAAGATCAATAAGTTTTGAGAAAAACCACTTTTTATAGGCACCTAAGTTCGACTCTCAATAAATCTCGGAGTGGCTTAGAATAGTTTTGTGAGACTTTCGATAGAACCTCTGACCAAGATGATGAACAAACTCTTATTTGGCTCACGTTTCGGCTCTTTGACCTTCGTCAGAGTCTGGAAAGGCAAAGGTGATTGTGTTCCTTCTTCATACAACAATCAAAACTTTAAAATAGTTCCCTAAAACCAACCAGTGGTTCTAAACAGGCACGATAATCACAAGCGCATAACAAGTGCTCGTGAATATCGTGCCATTTGAGAACCACTGGGTCTATAGAACTGCTTTCTGAGTACTTTAATTGTCGTATAGAGATGGAATGCAACTATCTTGGGCTATCCAGACTCTGGCGAAGGCGAAAAAGCCGGAAAGAAAGTCGAACAAGAGTTTTGTACACCATCTTAGTCACAAGTTCAATCAAGTCTCACGAGAACTATTGAGAAAATGCATACCCAGAGCTATTTTATGTTGTTGATTGATGGATGCACCGAGGCTATGTGTTCCTAGTTAGTGTAACCAATGATAAATATCCTCAATACAGTACATTTTCTACGCACGAGAAGCGTCGTCCTGTTCTTGTTGAGCATTCGCTCTAACCATTTAGCTTATTTTACATACTTCCATTCACCCTGAACTTTTTGTCTTTTCTGCTGTTTATAGTTTGCTGCTTTATAATACGAATAGAAGGAGTGTATATAATTATTTAAATGTATATCTGGACCAAAGATAGGTCTGCGCAATCAGACAAATAATGCATACATTTTTCCAGTGGTACTGGTTATTATCGCCCTTGCTGTACTGATCATTATCCTTTATGCGTTCTCTCATTCCAAAACTACTCGTACAGACAGTTTCTTTGATAGATGTCCTCGAATGTGTGATAAGCCAAAGTAAGTTTGCTATGTTTTGGTTCTAAAATTTGTTCCAGATGATTTTTTTTTCGAGAAGATATTTTCATCGCATTCCACTGGTTGGTAAGTACTAATACTGAAGCTGTCACTTGTCAATTGAGAATTTTTTTTGGGCAGCTTCTCGGTTCTTCGATTCCACAATTTCGATGGCTGCGACTAGGAAGTCGGTTGTTTTCATTTTTGAATTGCCGACTACCAACAATTTTTTTTGTTCTTAAGATGGTGCTTCTGGAGTACTACTTTCAATGTGCGGGGGTGTGGTTTGTCGAGAAATAGAGGGAACTTCAGTCTTCTGTGGCGTAGTTCTCGCATTACACGAGCCATTTTCTGCAGCTGGCGAGCATGGACTGTGGCCGACACCGAAGTGCCAGTGTCGAGCGGGTCCCGGTAGACCATTCCATTCTGATGATCGATTAGTACGTTGCCGGACTTCGAATGAACTTTTTTTTGGAAGCAAAGCGCTTGTTCCATCTGGACACAGTCGAATCATGAAAACACCTTTCTTGAAGACAGCGCAGAATCTCGCCGCAGCGGCTCTCGCAGAGTATCCCTGCAGGAACTCGTCATAGATAACAGGTCGAATGATAGCTCCATCCACTACGGGTTTCAATATCCTTTACGAAGTCATGGAGCCCATACAATCTTTGCAAAGCTCTTTCGTAACCACTTTGGAAATCTTTTGGGTACATTCTATCGCAATCAGGCGTGCAAATGTTTAGAGAGAATTCCGACTCGTTCCGAAAAAATATTTTCAAAGTCTCGCAGTACTCACCTTCCAACCTAATAGCACACAAAATTCCACACACCGAAATAGAGTGTGAAGTGCTGGCCTAGCTACAGGAATATAATCATAAGGGGTTTGCTGATATCAAAACTCAGCAAGTATCGGATGCAAGCTGACATTCCGCCGTTTGTAATGTTTGTAATTTGTTGCTGCTCCAAATATGGCGAAGTCTCTCTAAAACGATCGAAGGTAGTGAAGTCTAGCTGTTTCTCATTGAAGCAGGCTGTTGTTTCAAGCTCTGTGATATTCAGTGTAGGATTTTGTCCTCACATTCCTTTTTCAAACCTATTGATGGTTTTTGGATGGAGTTATGCAACTTCTTGCGTCACCATGGGTGCTACCACTATCATGCTACATTGTAGATCCCGAAGAGTCTTGGAACAACGTGGACGCTGTTTTATTCCAACCACTAACCAGGGAGGGGTAGTCTACTTATCTTGGAACTTTGAAAGAGACCCAGTTAAATCGATAGAGTTTTGAATGCTGTTTACGAAACTGGAAATCAAAAGTGCAAAATGGTTCCTCTTATAAAGTTATGGGGGCCCGAATTTTGCTCGACAGCAGTATCATTTGGATATGCGAACTTGTCGCTTGCAAGCGCACCTATCGAATGCTTAGTGCACCATGTTTTTCTAATTTTTTAACATGATCTTGGTACAAAGCTGGGTATATTGATGAATACCCAAGTTCCTGAGTCACACCGGCTGAATATTTGTTTAGTTTTTCGACGATTGACTATTTTGTCACCGGATGTAGAGAATCGGCACACAAAAGGTGTGCAGTTTGTGAAGAACATGTGTGCTTCACGCATTTTTAAAAAGTTTTTCCATCAATGTTGGGTTCCTTGCAGGCATCTTACACATCTCTGGTAACTTTCTGTTGAATGTTCCCTGAATTTTAAAATAAAAAAGAGTCATACTATTAACGTACAGAACCAATTTCCTTGGATAGAGGCGACGAGAGAAAATAAAAGCAGAAATGAGGCGTTCACTGAAGAAATGTCAGGAAATGTTTTGAGAGCCTTTGATGGAATGAAAAAAACACTTTGCAAAAAAACGGACAATGGCCGGGAGCAAACCCTCATCTTACGCCCATGAAGCGACACCACTACCGCTAGGCCCCGTTGGCACTTGATATGAAAGCGACGAGTCCGCATATCCAATTGATACTACTGTCGAGCAAAATTCGGGCACCCATAACTTTATAAGAAGAACCCCTTTGCACTTTTGATTTCCAGTTTAGTAAACAGCATTCAAAGCTCCATCGATTTATCTGGGTCTCCTTTCAAAGTTCCAAGATAAGTAGACTACCCCTCCTGGGTAAGTTTAGAAATGATCTTTTTGCTGGCCTTTTACCTCCTTTGAAATATACTGATGATTTTTCGAAAATGTAGCTCGTCAAAAGCACGTTGATAACTCACCTATCAATCTACTGGAAATCCTTCTTATATATAAAGCAGTAACTTGGTTTGTCGGTTTGTCGGTATGTCTGTTTGTCGGTATGTCGGTATGTCGGTTTGTCGGTCTGTCCGTCCGGGTCGCTTTGTGATTATGATAAACATAGTGATATGGAAAACTTATCCTACTTTATATAATTCGCTAAGTGTGTCCGTTGGTGTGTCGGTGTGTTTGTGGGTGTGTGTGTGTGTCGGTGTGTGTGTCTGACCGGAACTTCATAATTCCTGTCCCCATGGACCTAGAGCGCTCATATTTGGTAGGAGTAAAGGGGGCAGGACGGGAACACCTTTGGTAAGTGGCAGGACCGGACTCCGTTCACAGGGAGCAAGGCGTGCACAATAAAAATTTTAGGACGCAAATTCATAACTCCTGTCCCCGTGGACCTGGAGCGTTC